ATTATTTGATCGCGAAATATAACCAAATGCTTTAATTCAGATGTGGTGAATGTTTCTTTAGAAAAATTGCATTCATTCATCAAGATACCAGGACTGATATTTAAAGATGCTTTCATCATCCTTTTCTTCAACGCTTAATACAAATTCATTGTATTTGTTGCATATTTGCAAAGCGACTTGTATGTGATCATCGCTAATGAGCTATGATAATTATGCTTCCGATTTTTAGCAAGTTTCATTTCCTAAATGTGCACAATTATCTAATGGTTGAATACGGAAGATATTCAAGCACAGACTTCATGACCAGATGATAATTACATTTGACTATCTTCACCTTACACATTAGCACATTTGAAAACAGTAATAAATTTTCAATAAGCATGCTGATGTACAAAGAAGTGGTAATTACGAAGCGTTATACAACAGATGAATTCAGGGACATAAGATTGCAGAGTGATGCTCGTAAATTTACAAAAGATCTTTTCACAAATGGTGTTGCCTTTCAAATGAAAGAGAATGGAGGCATGCAAGAAAAGGCGCTAAACGATACTGTGTGGGGCAGTAGACCGCGCCTCATACGATTATGCCTCGATTTCATGGGAACCAAACAGGAAGTGGAATGATTGCGTGGAAGCAGTGCAAGCCAACCAATGAGTTCGAACAATTGTGTTGCAAAGTGCACATAAAAACCAAATGTGTCTTTGCACAATTGTCTTGCACAAGTGCACACATTTCTTTGTAGTTTTCATTTCATTTACTGGCTAAAGAGACCACTTTTTTCTCACCAAGCATTGATGCATTATAGTATAGCTCCATTACAGGGGTGTAATTAATGGGCAATAACATGATTACTTGAAGCAGGCATTTTGGTACTGTGAAATAATGGGCTAATTGATACAATCTTTATCAGTGAGAAAAAATATTGCGATAAAACAGCACTGCGCATCTTGATAACATTTAGAGGTATGTAGAATTTCCTTGTAGACTACTGGATGTCTGGGCTTGATGTAGAAAGTGAAATATGACAATTGCAGGAATTGTATGGAAATATCTGTGGAACATTGTCCAACTATCAAGGCATTAGAGAGGCGCATTGTTGATAAAGAGAATTTAATACTGCATAGAGAGTTTTTGAAACTGAATAAAGGCTTGTGTTTGAACTTGGGGCAGAAGAATTGTTGGTTGATGTGTTTTAGCTAACTAAGGGTCATAATTGATAAGCATCTCTTGTTTTTTCTACATTTTGGTTTTGATGAAAATGGAACAGAATTTTTCAATATTTTGGCATTACACATATTAAAGGTTTAACTAGTTTTTTGTATTATAACAATGACTTCTTTGATGGGCATTTTAGAAGTTGGGTTGATGAAGAATGATGACAATTTTTATGGATATACAACTTTTTATTCTGTGGAGGCGACGTTTCGACATAGATTCAAATGTCGTTGTCAAGCAAGTGATGTTGAAACGTCACCCTTCACAGAATAAAAGAAGTTGTATATCCATAAAAAATGTCATCATTCTACATTATAACACTGGTTATTTGCAACAAACAGCTTACAGTTGAAAGCATATCACACAAATATTAAACTGAAAGAGGTTTTGACTGAGTTCCAAGAAGTTCTAGAAGACAGAAGACACACCTTTGAAGGATGTGTAACTGAAGTAACATTGCCAATTTTTTTATAAAAATATAATTTGGATTAAGTAGATGTCTTGTCTGATGCGGAGAATGTTTCAAGGAAGCAAATGAGTAAAGACGTTGATTGAGACTTTGGAAGTATGCATTTGGCGCAAATCCAGTGCAGCCATTCCGACAACTGCCCGCAGCGTGGAAGTAAGCATGACATCCTTAAGAGGGCTGTATGTAATTCAAGATACTTTGGACTGAATGCTTATTATTCTATGACATATCATAACAGGGACGTAAAACCAGAACTCTAGTTGATGGTCCATTAAAGCTCAGCATGTCAGCGTTTCTGTCATAATTGACAATGAAAATGGCTGCAATTTACAATAAGAGGTTTATTGCTTATTGGCTCAAGGACATTTGTCATTGGATGAAGTGGGTGGTGATTGCAGGGCAGTGTAAATAAATCATGTTATTGCTCAATTATTATGCTTGCTTTTCGTTGATGTTTGTTGTGAATATTAATTGTATAAACATTCATAATAAGGTAATTTTAAGTGTTCCTGTTTGGGCTTTGTACACCGAAACAGGATCAGTGGGAATCATGACTTGGGCAAATGGAAACAAGATGGGAAATTAGGGAACAGTGACATGGCTTATTATAAGCTGATTTTAGTTATCAGAAGTATTAATTCTAGGTTCCCACATTGTTGGTAGAGACTCAAACCCATTTGTGCTTACAGCTGTATTAGTGATGGAAGCTGTTTTAATGGTAGTGGTAATTGTTGTCTGTTGTAGTAGTTGTAGTCAGTGGTGGCAGTGGTGGTGGTAGTTGAAGGGATGGTTTTAGTGCTAGTGGTGGTTGTGGTCTGTTGTAGGGATGGTTTTAGTGGTAGTGGCCATGGTTGTCTGTTGTAGCTGTTGTAGTCAGTGGTGGTCAGTGGTGGTGGTAGTTGTTGTAGTTGTAGTCAGTGGTGGCAGTGGTGGTGGTAGTTGAAGGGATGGTTTTAGTGGTAGTGGTAATTGTTGTCTGTTGTAGTAGCTGTTCTAGTTCTAGTCAGTGGTGGCAGTGGTGGTGGTAGTTGTTGTAGTTGTAGTCAGTGGTGGTGGTAGTTGAAGGGATGGTAGACATAGTAGCTGTTGTAGTTTAAGGGTAGAAGTAGTAGCAGTCAAAGTAGAGGTGGAAGTAGCAGAAGATGTGACAGGTATTTACCACTTAGTGAAACAGTTGTACCTTCCATATTTAGCAAGATTGGAAGTAGTTGTAGTAGCTGTAGAAGAATCAAGGACTGTTGTCAGGTGTCACATATATTTGCCCCAGGTATGTTTCTCAAGCAGAAATCTACACAAATACAGAATACAGACACAGAATTGTGGATGAGGCCATATTTCTCAAACTGAAATCAGCTCATGTTAGTAGTAGTAGTAGTAGTAGTAGTAGTATTAGTAGTAGTAGAAGTAGTAGCAGTAGTAGTAGTAGTAGTAGTAGAAGTAGTAGTAGGAGAAGTAGTAGTAGTAGAAGTAGTAGTAGAAGAAGTAGTAGTAGTAGTAGTAGTAGCTGCTATAGTTGTAGTAGTTAGTAGTAGAAGTGATAGCAGAGATAATAGCAGTGGCATTGGAAGTAGTAAATAGAAGTAGTTGTAACGGTAGTGCATTTTGTAGATGTGATTGACGGTAGTAGTATCTGTCAAACTTTGTACATGTTGTTGTTGTTGTTTTTGCTGTTGTTGTTGTGGCTGTAGCTGTTACTAACGAAGCTGTCTTGTCTAGCCCCACTTTCATGTTTCTAGAATTTCCACGTATCTTCCGAGCCTTATCGCCATCACTACATAGTCTGTGGTTTTCCATGGTGCTATTTGATACTTTTTCAAAGGGATGCTTTACTGTTTGTGTAGATGTTTTAAGTGTTTTGATAACATGTTAATCTCAAGGAATATGTAAGTAGCGTAAAGACCATCTCAATATTGATACAAGTCGTATGATAGCTTATTACGGGCTGACGTGAGACTACAGGACAGATCGGCTACCTCCCTGCTCCAGCTCTGATGTGTGGTGCAGGTTAGCTTATTAGGTGTAATATGTCGGCTGTACTGTGATAAGATATGACGGGAATTCATGCAGCTCTCTGGAGCATTCACAATTAGGGCTTGGGAAGAGGCCTGTACCAATCAGTGAGTGATTTGGTTTACGGCTCTTGTTGCAGTATTTTAGTCATGTTTGATCCGTGATGATCTGGGTTACAATTGGCCTACAGTAACTCATGCTTGTCGTAAGAGGAGACTAACGGAATTGGCTGGGTCAGGCTCGCTGCCTTGGTTGATGCATGTCATCTTATCCCAGTTGAGTAGGTCAGTGCTCATGATGTCAGTCACTAGATTGTCTGGTCCAGATTTGATGATTGACTGCCATCATATAGCTGGAATATTGCTGAGTGTGGTGTTAAAAAACAAAACAAACAAACAAATAAATCAGTCATATTCGATATTCTTTTAGGTCAGAGGAAAGACCCAGGTGACCCTGTTCTTACATATATGATAAATCCATGTGTATCAAAGAACTCATATTTTTTCTATGTTCTATATGGAAGTGTGAACATAAAATAATTTTAGGAAAGTGTAAATCTCCATAAATGTAAACATATGTTTGTTTATAAATATATATGTCAACATGTATAGCTTCACAGACTTCTTCAAAGACTGTCAGTAACCCAAAACTTACACTCCTCAAGTGATGAGGAATCATTTTCAGTAGGTTTTGGTGAATTGGTTGGCGTGTTGGCGAGTTGGCGTGTTGGTGACAACAAACCAGGATTGATTATGAGGAATCTGATATTTGATTACAGTATAATTCACATGTTGAGTACCATGCTAAAACAATTGGTTAATCAGAGAAGCTCATCCTATGAATCCTATGTAAGTTAATGAATGTCATATCATCCCTTAATTTTACATTTACAATCAAGGAGGCAATACAATTGCTCCAGTAGGTGGTGGGCCTTGGGGTAGCCTTGTGGTTAAAGCGTTCTCTCGTCACGCCAAAGACCCGGGTTCGATTCCCCTTAAGGGTACAATGTGTGAAGCCCATTTCTGGTGTCCCCTGCCGTGATATTGCTGGAATATTGCTAAAAGCTGCGTAAAACTAAATTCACCCGCTCACTCACTCACTCCAGTAGGAAGTGTCAGATTGAAGTAACAAGCTGATTAATATTGCAGTGCTCTTGAAATGTTACCAATTTTGTTATAGTTGAATGTCTTGAAACAGCTCTGTCTTTGCTTTAATATAAAAGGAATATTTTAGGAAGCTTAATTTGCTGTTTTTAACAGTTTTCAATTGGTAGAACTTAAAGGAATATTGACACTTTTGTTTTCAGAGGACTTTGGTTTGATTCTCTGTATGGAACACTGCTCAAAGTCGATGCTTTTGGCAACATCCTTGTCTGCGTGCAAGGGTTCAAGTTCATGAGAGGGTGAGTACATGGTTTAATCTTGTTCATGTCAGAAGAATTGTGGCAGGCTTCACCACATGCATCTTCTTCATGTCAAACAGCCATGTTTTTTCAGGTCAAGTTCTTTGAAAGCCCAGGTGATGCTGTGCTTTCGCAGCAGAGGTACAATTGTGTGGAACTGTCACAATACTAAATAGTGGCATCTATTTTACCAACCATATAGTGGCAGCCATTTTACCAACCATATAGCGGCAGCCATTTTACCAACCATAGAGCGGCAGCCATTTTACCAACCATATAGTGGCAGCCATTTTACCAACCATATAGTGGCAGCCATTTTACCAACCATAGAGCGGCAGCCATTTTACCAACCATATAGTGGCAGCCATTTTACCAACCATATAGAGGCAGCCATTTTACCAACCATATAGTGGCAGACATTTTACCAACCATATAGTGGCAGCCATTTTACCAACCATAGAGTGGCAGCCATTTTACCAACCATATGAGTGGCAGCCATTTTACCAACCATAGAGTGGCAGCCATTTTACCAACCATATAGCGGAAGCAATTTTACCAACCATATAGTGGCAGCCATTTTACCAACCATAGAGTGGCAGCCATTTTACCAACCATATAGCGGCAGCCATTTTACCAACCATAGAGTGGCAGCCAATTTACCAACCATAGAGTGGCAGCCATTTTTACCATCCATAGAGTAACAGCCATTTTTACCATCAATAGAGTAGCATCAATATTACAAACAAAAGAATGGCAACAATATTTCCAGCCATTCATATATTGTGACTGCCATTTTACCATTTTAGTGAATTGTTTGCACAGGAATAATCAGTCTTCAGAAATCCCCTGAATTGGATCAAGATGATATTGTGCACCAGTTCCATTGAAGTAATGGTGAAAAGTAATATTCCTGAACAACGTGACAGCACATGAAACAGTTGCGTCTTGTCATGGTTGATAGCATCTTAATCTTTTATTTCAGTTTTGATCCATCATGCCTTCTTGTACATTTATAAAACACAGCTGATGACGTGGACATTTAGCTTTGACTGCCACCTTTTGGTAGGTTAGCTTGCTGTCTTTAGGTTTGATCGGCAGTGACATCATGTAGGCCATTAGACGTATCATCTGCTGAAATCAGTTTTTAGGAGGGACTATGACGCAGGTTCACCAAACTTGAATTGGTGGCAGTACTTTTGGAACACCTTGATTTTGGAAATGCATGTACCTTGAAAAATATTGAAATCTTTTCCAGAGGCTTAGAATAATTTGGTTTCATTTTTAGTGAATATTTTGAAAGCTATAATTTGTTCATAATGGTCAATTGGTTTGAAACATGAAGGTCATGAATTTAGGATCAGTCTTTATAAGACCTCTAATTTTGAAATAAAACTTAAAATCCATGAAGAATACGTAAAAGTCTTTGGAAAGCCTTGAATTATAAAATACACCAAAACAGGTAATTGGGTTGAATAGCCTTGAACAGAAGGTTTGTGGAATGTGGGAGCATCGTGCGCCAGTCTGTTAATAACAAATCAGTTTCTGTATTAGGATTTGGTGCCCCGGTGATGGCAGGTATTGCTATTAGTGTGGGTAACCTATGTACCGTGTGGCTCGGTCTGTAACAGCCATCATCCTACTGATGCGGGAATGTCATGTGTATGGCCTTGAAACAATGCTCCCTGTTGAACTTTGATGTTATAGTGTATCATACAATCAAGACTTGACAATCCTGTGATCAATACTGGGGACAACAATTAACTAAACACCCCATCAATTAAGTCATCTCAAATGACCAGCGTACATTGCTGTTCTATCTGCCATAGTGTATATAACACAAACTCATATTTTGGCTCACTTTGATTATTCAAATAAGATAAGTATATCACCTCTTTGGGTTGTCAATTGCAATCAAACTGTGTATGTTGAGTCTTGCTGCTTTTCTGTTCTACAGTCGCCAACAGGTTGGGAAAATGGTAACTGTATACATGAAGACTTGAATGTACATCAAGGGCATATGAACTTCTGGGTTAGACACTGAGTATATTGTGAAGTGATTTTGACAGATCTTTGGAGTTGATCCCACGTTTTGCTTCCGTGTGGTGAGTTCTTCACCCTCACGTTCCCATGGTGATGAGTGATGCACACAGACGTGTGTCTCTCTCGGTGTACAACCTCATTCATAGCCGACTGTTGTGTCTGGAGAGTTACACACTACTACATAGTACCTGAATGTAAAGAAACAAATACAACTGGGCCTTCCAGACAAGCTCACATGCTGAAGACCCGGGTTCGAATCCCCACATGGGTACAATGTGTGAAGCCCATTTCTGGTGTCCCCCCGCCGTGATGTTGCTGGAATATTGCTAAAAGCGGCGTAAAACCAAACTCAGTCAGTCAGACCAGACAAGCTCTAAGTCTCTTTATTTCTGGATAGCCATGTGGTTAAAGCATTCACTTGTCATGCCAAAGACTGGGTTCGATTCCCCACATGGGTACAATGTGTGAAGCACACTTCTGGTGTAACTTACATTGATATTGCTGGAATATTGCTAAAAGTGGCGTAAAACCACACTTACTCAATCATTTAATATTAGAACTTTGACACAAGATGCTCACATCTATAAAATGAATCAACTAGAGTGAGTGAGTGAGTTGGGTTTTAAGCTGCTTTTAGTAACATTCCAGCAATATCATGTGGGGTTTTCCAATGTTTTTGTTCCAGCGTCTGTATCGTCGAGACTAAGTGCTGTTTCTTCATCTGCCAACCAGGCTGCTCAAACACTCATATACTTCAAACACTGCTGTCGAATATCAAAATAAATTTACCCATAATTCCTACTAAATCACAAGGCTCCACCCTTCCTTTGATTGTTCGCAAGATGATTGTAAAGAGAGTCTTCCATCTGGAGTTTTTGTTTGTTTTTTCCAGGGGAGATAGAGAGCTTTTTGGACATGAATATGATCATCGCCATCTTTGAAAAAAAGCGTGAGCTCTATCTGTACAGCCTTGTGCCTAAGTAGTCTATGATTGCCCTGGGAGGGGTGCATGTGCGAGATGTCACAGATCACTCCTACGGGGAGTCGGCTTTTTGTGTTGTTACACCTGATTGCGGCATTTCCTCGTGTAATCTTTACCATGTAGTATTACAAGAATGTCCGAGAAAAAATGGAAATAGAAATATGATGGCAAGACAACTACTGTTAATCTCAGGAGACAGGCAGCTTGAAGAAGCTTGATGTCCGGTACTTTGTTAGATTTGTAGTCTTACACAGCTTCTCTGCGTCTTGTGGGTTGTTTTTGTTGAAATGATGCCTTTAATGTTTATTGCAAAAATAAATTCTAAGATTTGGTTACTTGAGAAAAAAAAATTTTTTTAATGCCATTTTTATTCTGGAATTTGAAATGATGTTTGTTTTGTTTTGAATGTCTTTAATTAGTTAAATATGATCTTTCAAATGAATTTGTTCAGTGATATAAAAAGCAGCTGGTATTTTGCTGATACTCACCCCCGTTGTGAAAATATTCATCCAGGTTTTACTGTCTTACATTAGATATACCGGAATGTACTTTCCTTGGGTAAGTTATCAGTATTCCTTCTGTCCGATTTTCATGTTTTTGACATCTCTGAAACTGCCGGTTTTATGAAATTGGAATTTTGAATGGATTATTCAACCAGTGGAGTCTTGTTCATTTTCTGAAATGATTCTGATTTGAATTTTTCAACATTGTAACCATGGTAGCCATTTTAAACAATTCCATTAATATCCATGGCTTGATCATTGATGAATGATAATTTAATATAGTTTCTGAGCATGTGTATCAAATTGATTCAACTTTAGTATTTGAGAATGAAAATTTTTTTCGTTCAAGTTTTCTTTTTATTTCTTTTATGGTAAGATATCATTAAACATTATTACAAAAACACACTCTTTGAATCTCTCAAGAAACATATCCTGACAGTATTTCTGTTTTAAGGATACACTAAAAACTGAAACCCTTTTCTCGCACATGTAAAAGTAAGTTTTCTGTTAATATTTTAGTCTGTCATACAGACCCTGAAGCAAATATATCCAAGAAAGCCCACGCAAGTCTCGAAAATGTGGCAAGTCTAGATTTCCACAGCTTCAGGGTCTCTGAAAATGAAGAAAGTCTCTGGGTTCCTTTCCATTATATATTTTTGTACTATGAACTATTTTTTCTGTAAAATATGTTCATTTCAGAGACAAGTTGTTAGTCCATTAATATTTCTAAACTCATTCTATCAGGAACAATTATTCTTTTTTTGTAGCCCAGTTTTGAGACAAAATTGCTTTGTACAGATTTCCCACAAACCTTTTAACATACATCATGCATCCTAATGAGATATGGGGAGTGTTTCTGACATGCGATGTGATCAAACCCTAGCCTTGTCTCGACCAATAAATCTCACATCCTGATATGACATATAAAACCACAGCCTCTTCACTCAACCAGTGATGAAGCCAAGTGCATTAACCATCAGCAACCTGTTTACACCAGCCTCTTCCTTGACCTCCAAACAAGCACCTGCTAATCTAACTCGGACCAAGCTTTAATCCAGCAGGAGCTACATCATCAACCGAGCAGCTCTGATTTCTGTGATTCATGATTTATCACTACTCCGTTATATGGTGCCCACTCCTTTCAACAAGCTAAGTTGATAGTCAATTAGCAGAGAAGTCAAAGGAAGCATGTGTCCATGGCTTATCAAGGTACGGTTGTAGGTACCCACCCAGCTCTTACCTTTTTATTGGGCTGATTGTAGTGAGCATCTGGACAGATAGCGGTGGGGAGGGTCCAGTTGTAGTTCCAGGGATACGTTGGGGTAATAGTCTCTTTTTCTAATGGAGAAAAGGTCAGGTTCATCTGTAATGCTTCAATTAACACAGGAAAAGAAATAATGGACAGCTACAAGGTCACTCGGTTTTGGTGGATGAGTACTGTTACCTGTTGAATGAAATATGAACAGGAGTATGTG